AGGATTCAAATGGTTGACTTATATCTGGTCTGTATCATTATTGTGTTACTTTGGGTTATAAGTGTCAGAAGGAGACACAGTTTATCTATTTAGCTTGCGGGACAATAAAGATAACAGAAGGAAAAGAGTCAATACTCTTTAAAGCACCAGGAAAGCCTTTCTCTGATTCTCATGAGAGTTCAGGTCACTTTTCGAGAAACACACTCCTCTGGTTATTTTACGATCCATGCAGCATGATTTCCTTTAGATGGAGACTTTTTTAAGGAAAAATTTCAAGTTTTCATTCCACGCTAGAGAAGTGTGTTTAGAAACACGTTAATGATGCAATGGTGTTTGCAAAGTTGTATTCAATAGCAGCAGTATTTATAAAGTGGAAAAAGCACCCTGTGTAATAGTGGCAATTTTGATTCTGTTTCTACTCTTATGTGTCCCTCTTATGTAAAAATTCACCTCCTCATCTCTTTTCATTTTACTCACTTGGATGCTTCCTCAGTTTAATTTTTCCTTGCTGTTTTCCTTTCCTATAACTTATTAGGTCTCCTGGACATCTTTGGGGGCAGATCTACCAATTTAGGAAATTACAGAAAGAGAGAAACCGTGCTGTTTCACATGATGAAAGAGGAAGATAAACCATCCCCTGTGGTGGCCAGCTTTATATTCCTCATCTTCCTAAGTTGTTCTCTTCCACAAGATAACACTGCCTATTGTAGGAAAAGCTTGGGACCCACGCTGCCCATTTATACTGCTCATCAAATTTAATAGTAACATTTTGGCTTTAATGAAACTCTTCCTCCTATAAATCTCAGCAAGTTGATCTGATTAATAGAGGAAATGAGCACCCAGCAGTGTTAGCGTAAAGATATTAAACAGATGAAACAAGGTAAAATAATCTCTAATAATGTGCGGTGATGGGGGACACAGCCCCTCCGGCATATGGGCCTCCTCTACGTTAGGCACGTGTGCACAGAACATTCATTCTTTAGTAAGTTTTCTTTGTTGGAAGAGTTAAAAATTTCCTGGATAGTTCAGTCTTGAACAGCTAGAATACTGGCTGTATCTGGTCCTCTCTGACCCACCTTTTTGGTTTTAAAGAGCTTTATTCCATTTGACTTTGGTAGTAAATGAAGGTGCACCGTCTTTTTGAAGGGTCATTTGTACTTTTCTCTTCTTACTTTATCTTCCTACCTTGTGAGTGATGGGATTACAAAGACTATCTACATTTGGCTCTATAGTTAATTAGGGAGAATCTGAAGTTTCTCATATGACTTCTCATATGGCTTTGCAAGAGGGAGCATTCCTTAGGAATAGGAACTTTTAAAAATGTAGGCCAGTTAATCTTCATAAGAGGAGAGTTCAAACAAAAATATCACTGTCTAGATCCAGGAAACAGCCCCCACCTCTCATCTGTCTTCAAAATAAAATAAAAATCCCAATGGAGAAAAAAAAAAAAAGAAAGAATGAAAAGAGTGGAAAAAAAATCAACTCAAGCCCTATATTTCTATATTTCTCCTCTAACATTAAGGAGCAGTGTCACAACTGGGTGTTGTGTGTGTGTGTGTGTGTGTTCTAATTTTCTTCTTTCAGCAGTTTCCCTATTAGCATGATGTTCTTGAGTCTTTGTATTTAGATTCATTATTCAGAAAAATTAAACCAGAGAAGGTTTGATTTATCTACTTTTTAACCTTTTTGTGAAGCAAATAAGGTAAGCTCAGTAGACACTAGCCAGGCTGAAACACTATTAAAAATGCAATTCGGACTGAGTCACTGCTTGTTATTTTTATAAGCAAGACCCTAATTCTGATCGACCCCAAAGAATGGGCTGCCGTGACTAAGCAAGCAGCACGAGGCAACTGGCTTCTGCTGGATGTTATCTCATTTGGAACACATTTCAAACTTTAGAACAGATTTTTAAATTGGAAGTTGAAACCTGCAGACTGTCAGCAGAAGAGCCTGATTCACAGAACTTATCTTACTTTAAGTTCCAGGCAGAATTTTTTAAGGAGTAGGTTACCTAAAATGTGTTGTGATACATCAAAGAGAGAAATAAAAAACGCCTCTCAGAATAAGAGTGACGCATGCATCTAAACATCTTTTGGACTTTAATATATGCTTATTTGAATGAAGACTTCCTTAGATTAGAAGTTTCTAGTTCAATAAAACTTGTGAATGTTCATGGATGTCTGAAAGGGTAACTAAGATTTTTTCTGCAAACATTTCTTTAGTGGTGGGGGTTCTTCATGTGGAACTTTTTGAGTCATAACCATAATGCCATTATTGTTATTTCAGGTAAATTAGAATGAAAAAAAGTGCAGTCTTGGTAAGTCAGAAATAAGGAAAGTCTTATATCATATTGACGATAGTGATTTGGAATCATGGAATCATAGAAAAGTTACCAAAAGTCTAGATACCCAGAAAACTACAGATATTCTTGAGTTCCTTAAATTAGAGGAACTACGCAAATGATAGCAGTAATAATGATTTTGACCTGGCGCAAATGTCAAGGCAATGCCTGGAGAATACTAACTCGTCTTTGCAGAAAAAGCTGTTATGTGCTTATTATCTTAGATAACATCCATGATGCAGCTGAACTACAGGGAGAAATGTAGGGAGTGACCCACTAGAGGTCCCTTCCAACTAAAAAAAGTTTCGATAGTTCAAAGGATGCAGCCTTAGTAAATTGGCATTCACGACTGCAAAGCAAGTAAGGGCCAGAAGGGGGGACCACACGTTTCAATTCCTTAGGAAGAGACATGGTTTTATTCAGAATGTTTGTCACATTTTATCTCTTTTTTAAAATCCCTATGTGGGACAATAATTCAATTAGTCCTAATTAGATATTCAGAACTTGTTCCAACTTACTGATACATTTGCAACTGGAGGTGTCATTTGATGCCTTGGAACTATAGTTGTGCTTTCTAGAAATTTTAGCTGTTTCAAGTATCTCAGAGCGTATTTTGCAAGATAGATTTTTTTCTTAAAAAGGAAGAATGTCTCAGAGTAAGTGTTTACTTGCAAAGCTGATGGAGGTGGTGGGTGGGAAGTAAGGTACCTGTTTCCTGATAGTAGGTACCTTGGTAGAAAATGATTTTGTTTCTATATGTTAGCTTTGCAGAGTTAGCATTAAGAAATGTAATTGCCATAAATTGATGTAAAAGCCAGATAGTAAAGGGATTAAAAGTCCCTATAGAGACACCCGTCTGTCACTTATTTATACTGGCAGCAAAGGATAATTGTAGACAAGTACAGTAGAACTAAACCATTGTCAGTTTGCTTCAAAAATGTGCTGCTGCTTCTCATCTTTCCTCTGCTTCAGAAGTGTGCCGTGAACCATCAGAATAGCGTAAAAAGATCTGCCTTTTATTTTCCCCCAACACCTTTTTAATTAGAACACACCAAAGAGCAAAAGAGGGTGAGATACAATCCTGTGTGATTGTATTTTCCACTAAATTGTTGGATTCTTTTAAGTTTCCGAGCCCTGAATTGAAAATCTGGCCTCTGGCAGAAACTTTGCCCTCCTTCTTATGACATAATGAAGACATCTGCTTGATCATATCCCCTTTCTTCACACAGCTTGTTTTCTGGCTCTCTAAAATAGCAAACACAGAACCATGCAAGTGCTATTACACAAAAGATGACGGTAAAGCTACCCTGGGAAAGATTTTTTTTTTCTCCCAAAGTAGAATCCTAAAGGTTTTCCTTTTCAGGTCAAGGCATCAGCAAGAAAAGAAAGGAAAAGCAATTCTTGGCCACAGCTTGTTTAAGCATATTTCTTATTCATTCTTAGAGGAGTTGTGCATTAACTAGGTATATCCCTGTGTTCTTTTCCAACACGGGGAGGAGTTTGCCCCCCCTGGGTAATAAATGCTCAGAAAGCCTTATTTTGCGTGTGCACCCCTCCAGATCAGCCACACATGTACACACCAGCCACTCCAGCAATATTCTTGCAGGAAAAACCTCTTCTTTCCCACATTATGTGCTTCAGTAAGTGAAAGTGAAGACTGGCCAAGACACGGGCTGATACACCTCTATAGTGTGACTATCATAATTAAAATGTCTTTACAAAACAAAAAGGGAGAGAGAGAGAGAAATGTGTGGGTATGCCAGATGATTAAACTTCTTGGTACTTGAATGTTCTCAGTAGTTAACTCGGGTGAACAGCCCCTTGCACTAACAGGAACCTGCATACAACTCCCTATAAAATATGGATTTTATTGCAGCAGTGACAACACTTCTCAGCACCACGCTGACCCTCCAGCATCTCCCATCTCGAGATCTCCGATAACTCTTGGCAGAAGAATATCTAACTACAGAAGTAATGCCACTCTGCAGCCGCTGCAGTACACAACATTGCAACGTCCCCCGTTATTAAATTCCGGGATTAACGGATTGGGGGCTCCACTTTTCCTGCATCGGACACCTAAAACCAGGCGCACTTGGTCTGCTCTACAGCCAGTCCGGGGGAGGCGTTATCCCTTAGATTTGTGCCTGGCCAGCCGTGGAGGAGCACGAGCAAGCTGCATCTTCCACATGACTTTTCCCTGGACAGTGTGCTCCATTTTCGGAGTCCAATGTTGGACTTTCCTTGCAACCCAAGCATTTCTGTCAGCCGGCAGGCGTTGCCCCGAACGTGCAAGCAAACAGTTTTCTGTAGCTCTTTCTCTGAGCCAGATCATCTTTTCAGCTTAAGTTTTCCTTATTGGGAGCATTCAGGAGTTTTCAAGCTACCTGATTTTCCATTTTGCCCCCAAAGCCAAGAAATGTAACTCAGCCAAAACAGTCCCCGCACAGACCCTTGTGATGTGAGCAGGTGGAAATAAATCGAGCCTCAAACGGCTCCGCGGGTACTGCACACACCAGCGCCCTTGGTAATTGACCAGCCAACTTTGCAAATGCCGGAGCTCCCCTGGCAGCCTCCGCCGGCGGAGAGGAAGGCAGCCGGTTCTTCCCCCGCGGCCCCGTTACACATGCCCCAACTCAGCCCCACGGCGCATCGCTCTTACCAGAAGGCGGAGGAACGGCACCCAGGCTCCCCGAAAAGCGGCGCCGGTCCTGGGCAGCTGCAGCAGCGCCGCCCGCGCAGCCGGACCCGCGCGCCCGCCCCGACCCAGGCTCGCAGGCTGAGCATCCCTCCCAACTCCAGCGTGCGGCACCCATCGGGCGGAGAGGGCTCTCTCTCTGATTGGCTTCCATCAATGCTACAGAATTAAAAAAAGGAAAAGGCATGCACAGCCACAAGCACAGCCAACAGAGACCGAACCCACCTCTACTTTCCTTCCTGCGCCCGGGGAGACCCTGCCACCCGCCCAGGCTGCTCCTGCCTCCGCCGCCGCTGCGGTCGCCGGCTCTGCCGTTCCTGCTGCCGCGGCTGAAACTGCAGCTCTCGGGATGGGAAGGTTACGGGCTCGGGAGAACTGGCTCTTGTGGGCACACACTGATTTGCAAGTGAATGAAGTGGGAGGGAGCAAAGAGAGGAGGACTTTGTTAGAGAGGCCCAGTGCCTGCCCCCGCCCGCCCCCTCCCCTTGACAGAATGACTCCCTGTGTTTGAAGTCCTGAGCAATTCGCTCCCTGTAGCACTCCCTCAGCCCCAGGCTTTCCTTTCTTTTCCTCTCTTATATTTTGGGGGGTCAAGACATACTCAGAACTTGTGTGACTCCGTCTGTTCCCTCCTTTATACCATCAAAATCCACCTTGTGCTATTATCAGCAACGGTCAGATGTTCTTTTTTTTTTTTCTTTTTACCGACTGAGCAATTACAATTCCCAGGGACAGAGTACCTCGCCGCGCTATCAGTTGGCCAGCTTCGTGTTATAGCGCGCATAACATGCTCATGTATAAAACAAAGCCGGTCTCCCGAGATAACAGTACCCGTGGCTTTTCTTTACAGTCCAAACAGGCGTTCTCCAGACACAAGCAGACGTACATTCAGATGTGTCTTTGCTTCTCTCCTTCCAGGAAGACAGCTTTTTACAGAGCCCTGTGATTTCTGTTACTCTTTCGGAGTGAGTAACCCCAGGATGTTGTAGCATGAAGCCATGCTTCCCTGGGCTTGCAGGAACACTCCAAACCCAAACCCTTCAGGCTCGCCAATGCCTTGTGGCTGCTTCCATCTTTCTAAATGAGTTAATACAAGGATACCACAGAGTTGGAGAAGAGGGGTGCATAATGAAATTCAAGGTCTGCTTAACGTTTTTAAGATCTTTCAGGAAAGTTCCTGAAGTAGGACAACCTCCCAATTAAACTCTTTGGTATACATAGCAGTTTGAATCGTTATATTTATAGTTACAAAAAAAGTAATCTCTAATATTAGGGAACCAGGCTGCAAAAATCCTAAGCATGTCAAAGTATCATTAAATGAGAGTAGTGGCGTTCTACATATGAGATGCAGACATGATGGAGCCAGGCGCTGCTGGATTAGGAAAATTAAATCTAAGCACCACAGTGATTGCACCTGGGGTCAGTAGCATCCCAAACCAGCTGTCTGTGTATACTTCAAGTTCGTGGGGAGATTTCCATTGCATGGTGCTCTAAATGAAAATCCAGGCGACTCTGGCGTCTGAGTGGTTAAACTGATTGCAGGTTGGTCTCTTTCCCAACTGAGCTCTTACTGGAAAATCTTTTGTTTCTCCATCAGAAGTTCAGGCATTTAAATAAAGCCCAAATCAAAGTATTTCCTCTCGGCAGCCAGTGCTTCAAAGAAGTGTGCATGGAATGGGTTTAGACACAGATGTTCCACACATGGAAGGTGGAAAGACTTTGAATTTCCTTCTTGAAAAGACCTTCTCTAATGAAGAATTACCACCAACTTACAAAAAGAGGCTGAACGTTTCCTCTTCATGTAGATTTAAACTCTGTGGAGAAAGGATAAGAGAGAAGAAGGCTGCTTCTGAGTCATAGTCCACTCCCCAGATTATAAATTTCTTATCCATTAAATAGAAATACCAACTCCTTATGTTTGTTTACTGCTTACAAAGTACTTTCATAGGCTATTTTATTTAGTGCTTCTTTCAACAAGTGGTGCAATTTTTCCCCATTAGGACAGAGGAAATAGGTTGATGAAGAAAATGCATAGGTTAAGTGACATGTCCAAGGCAATAAAACTGGTAAGCAGAAGAGGCAGAAATATTACTGGCAAACTGTGTGCAAATATATAATTACTTATATAATATAATTGCAATATCATAATTCCTTACATAATTATAAGTACGGCAATAAGTATGCAATAAAAATGTCACATTTCAAGACTACCTTTTGCAGAAAGATATGCAAATTAACTTATTTTCATGGTCAAAGTGGGATAATAGTGAAGTGGATGTTCTACCCTTTGAACAAGTTAGTATCTCACAAAGGAAACCTCTAATTGTTTGCGATATACTAGTCTTCAAACCGCATTAAACCACCTACGAAAGGTGCTTAAGACAACTGCCTTTTATTAAGAATGGATAAACAATCAATTTGCTTCTAAACAGTTCAAGTGGCAGCATTAAATTAAATAAAGGATAGCACTTTTTGTACTAAAAATGTTTTTGTGTTATTTTTGAGAATTTCTAGTAACATTTACCACAATCACTGTTAATTTTCAATTACACAATTGATGTAAACATCCAGAATTATTTTATCCTCATTTCAGAGATAAAAAACTCAGAGTTACTAAGGTTAAAAGATTACCTAGTATCATATAAGCTCTGTTTCCAGGACATTCTCTGGCACACCAAAATACACTGTCAAGCAACAGAAGTTAATTAGAGATAGTTAAACAAATGAAGGAGTCTTTGCTATCATCAAGTAGGATCTTCTCGTGAAACTCAAGAGTGGAAATTCTGCAGGGCCTTTGGCAAGTTCTGGAAGCAGACATGGAGAAGCCATCCGTACTCTGGCTGTATCCTGCTTTCTTCTCATTAGGCTTCTGCTGCTGTTTTGTCTGCCTTCACATCTGCCTCCTCATCCTTCCTTCAGTCCACAGGGCAGAGCAGCACCACTGACAGTTCCAGACCTTACCTCTTGGAAAGAGTTTCTCTTTCTGCTCCATTTCCAATTTCTTCATCAGGTGTTCTCCTGGACCAGCCAGCTGGAGCTGCGGCTGGGGCGGAAGGAGGTAGCAGGCTGACTTATACAGTGGCTCCCAGGACCAAAGTGAGGGGCAGCAGCTAGAGAGTGTCCTTGTGCTCTGGGAAGACATTCCAAAACATGTCCCATTCCACGAATTCTCTTGTTTTGTTTAGTAATTTGGCACAGCTGAAGTATTTCATCAGTTTTTAGGCTACTTCATTATTTTATATGCTTCAGTCAAAATTGCTTGTACTTCTCTCCCTTTTACAGCTTGCAAAGTTTCAATTAAAAAAAAAAACTCCTTCATAGACCATTACTAGGGATATTAATTTTGATGAGGGATTTTTCAACTTCCACTAAATCTCTCTTCAGATGATTAAGAGGGTATCTTATCCGTATAATGGGGATGCATATAAATAAATAACTGCAAGTTCTGTGACTTTCTTTTCAATAATATACATCTGTATGCAATGATTATCTGATAAAAACATTTTCATGATCATCAACAATTATTCTTGATTAGAAGAAAAAAGTTCAACTTTAAAACCATGTGCCTAATTAAGAATCTTGGCATGGGTGGTTTTGCTTCAACCCATCCAAATCTTCCATCTAAAATTTACCTTAAATGTGTTGCGACCAGAAAAAAGTGCATACATTACAATGCTTGTCACTTAATCATCATGGTGTGCACAAGAGAGCACATTTCACTGAGGAATGAATGCCTATTCCCCACCTCTGCCCTGTGTGTGTGCACACACGCTCACATGCATACACATACGCAAACACACACATGCACACATGCACACCAGTGTTTAAGGGGGAAAAAGGTTTAACTATTCTGGGTATTATTGAACTGAAACAAAGGAGACAGGAAATCTCGATGGAATTTCCCTTTTGTGAGAGCCATGGACATCTCAATACAAGCTAAAATAAATTCACACAAATTTCATATGCTTATCCAGGTTTTCTAATCCTGGGAGAGTTTCCAACAATGTATTTAAAATGGGTTGGATCCCAAGATGCATTAAGACATTTCCCTCTTGATCATTATATTTGACTTGTCATTATAGGTAGATTACAATAGCCAGGAGATTTCCAAATGAGATAAATGCACAGCAGCAAAATGTTATTGACCTATACCAATCATTTTAGTACTCTGGACATTGCAGGGTTCATAGAGTGGACTTCAATTTTTGCCAAATTCATTTTTACATTTATTCACTGCTTTGTGGTAGAATCTAAATTTGCCTGATAAGATATGTACAACTTGAGTTTGGTAGACTGTACTATGTCAGTGAAGGGGCATGTCCTTGTTTAGAAGAAACAGTCCGTCAGGAGGATATGTAATGTATCAGTATATTCTCTTAAATAACGGGTATAGAACAGAATAAAAAGAAAATCCTACACTTGCATCCCGAGGGAAAAATAATTCCTTTCTCCCACTAATCCCTCTCCCAATTATAGAAGCACTTGATGGAAATAGTGGCAGGTTGGAGTGGGAAAGAAAATATAATAACGTATGTTCAATAATATTTTGGGATTTTATAAATTGTGAGAGCATTAAAATTTCACAGCTTTTGTCAAAAAGAAGACAAGGGCAAATATAAGAAGAAGATTATCCTCTGCATAGGTATAAGCATTCTCTTCAGAATAGACCAGACCTCACCTAGAGCCTTCTGTTCCTCTTTAGGGACCACACTTAAATACTTTTTCTCTGTTCACTCCTTCCCTTGTGTTTCCACTGCACTTTGTAAAATACCTGAAATGCTTTAGCTAGACTCATTGCTTATGTGTTCTTTTTCATCTACCAGACTGTATATCCATTGAATTATTGAAAGTAGAACATCTGTCTGTTTTGGTCATCATTTTATCTCCTGGTGCTTGAAAAAGTGCTTGGTGCTTACATGTATAAATAAATAGAGATGCAAATAAACTAGAATGGATTCAGTAGACAGAAACTGAAGATCATTCCTAGTTGTCAGGTCATGCATATGAGTTAAAAGCGGTAAGACTGGAAAAGAGAAGGATCAAACTGGTCATGAGCACTCTTCAAATACTTGAGGAACTATCCTATGGAAGAAAATTAGACTGGCTTTCAGTGTGACAGACGCTTCAATTAGTGTCCATCTGGTGAAGCCACTGGAAGATAGTGCATTTCATTGGTTCTAAGATACCCATAATTTCACATTTTCACA